ATGAAATGAGATGAGGAATAGGGAATTTCTTCGATAAAATAAGAAATCTTTAAGCATTGAACGTTCACCAAATTGAAGAATATTAAAATCCTTTTCATGCAACAAAACGCGCAACATCTTTATAATTATACATTTATTGAAAATTTTACACCATCAGTAGTGTTGAGTATCCTTGGCACTGATGAAGTCTGCAAGTAGTAGACGAAATGCGAATATCTGTCAAACGGAATTTGAAGGAAATAAACCAACACACTCAAATCTCTTCATAAAGGGATTCCGTTAAGCGGTTCGACAAATTTTAATGATTTAGAATAATATAGTTATGGAGTACAATAAACTCAGGGGAAAACAATACCTACAAAAGATTAAAAAGTATCAATTGTCACATACCTGTACTATTACTTATTTCCTAAACTATTCCTTTACTTTACTTTAAAGGTTAGTTGCCTCCTTAAGGGGGTCCTGCATCCTAATTATTTTGTTAATCTACTTAATCTTATTAAACTTTCTGAAGTTTCTCATTTAAGTTCATTTGATGAATTTAATAAATTACTTAAATCTGTAATTCGCCTAATCAATTATAACCCATGCTTTATTAAGTACCTGCACTTGTGCTTGTAATATAAAATTAAACGTGTTTCAAGTACTTTTGATTTTGACCTATACCTATTTATTATATCTTAGTTCGACCCAGGTGACACCTTCAAGTGACTAAAATACTTCACTTTGAAGTTAGTTTCCTAGCCGATTTTTAAATTATATAGGGTATATGATCTAACTATGCTCACACGCTTCCATTATATCGCACCATAAAAATACGTATGAGTATGTCACGCCACAGTGGAAATTCCGAGCCACAGTTCAAACATCCCAAATCAAAATGAAGCACATATAAGATTAGTAACAATATCATGTACAAAAATGGTGTTTGACATTGTTCCGTGAGTAATACCTCAATGAAAACAACAATGAAAGATTGTCACGCAAGCAGAAGGAGCACTGTTGGGGACTTTCTGAAATATTATAATAATAATTCCCTTGCAAACTCAAATAAATCTATCTGCGAAAAAAAAAGTGATTTGCGACAAATTCCACCATTATCGCACCCAACGTCAGTGCCTATACGTAAGCGTACTACGACGCGGCTTTCAAACAAAGGAGTAACAAGTGTGATACTATCACTGTTAGACTAGATCTTTGGTTTTCTCATGCAGTGGTTCATCAGAGAGGGGAAGCTTAGTAATCCCTATTGCCTGCCCATGGCGCCATGCTATCGCGGCATGAGCCAGCAACGCCGGCCATAAACCTACCGTCTCCAACACTCCACTATAAAGCATGAAATTAAGCCCGGCCACCAACAGCAAGGTGCAAAAACTAGCCAAGAGGAGGGATTTACGAAGCAGGAAAAATTTAAAATTATATTAGACTTCAAATTTCAAAAATCTGTCACTTTCTGGAGAAAATAAAATTCAGATATTGAGCAAAGCATGAGTTTGTAACCTTAAAAAATCTATTCTTTGGATCTTAATTTCTTGCAAGCTTTAGATTCCATAAGCAATTCGTAAAACCAATGTATTGCTTTTCCACCCAGGTTAATTATTTACTCTGGTTTTTTTTCCTTATGTTATTGAGCAGGATAATTTTAAACCTATTACTAAGAAAATTCTTGGGAAAATAAAAAAGAATATGTTGTTATGGGTTTCTAGGGAAATTAAAAAGATTCGGGAGTGGAAAATCAGAGGATTGTAAAACATAAAACTAACTTAATTTTAATACGACTAGAAAAAACCTAAAACTTGAAGACAACCCCTAGAGTTTTGAAAGGTTCTGGCTCCCTGGATACATTATTTATAAACATGTTGTATTTTTATACAAATTCAAAAAATACCGATGACATATGTCGAAGTTTGATTGAAAATTCAGTTTCGGTTAAATAATCGACCTAATAATCCATACGATATAAAGGTGTTCAGCTAATAGGCATCTAACCTAATCCTTCATATTATTTTTGCCCTCCCCCTTATTCGAAGCCTGGCTACGCCCTTGCTGCCAACCACTGGTCGAGTTGGTATGAAATCCGTCATGGTATATTGAACAACATCAAATTGTTTCTCTTCGACTGAGTCTAAAACAGAACGGGCGATGCTGACAGTTCTCGTGTCGGAGCATGATTTTATTCTTATATAAAGTCTAGAGCACGCAAAAATTGGTCAACTTCAAATAGGTGTATTTCTGTTAAAAATGAATAAAAAAAATCTAAAATGCTGCATTTGGAAGTTGAGTGTATATAAGACTGATGCAAAATTTGAAATTTCCGCTCCACATTGCTCAAACGGTTCGAAATTGGGCCCTGATTAGCCTCCCAAAATTTGAACTCATTTAGTAAGAAACTGACTTGGCACAAACCATTTGAAGTTTATATGGGAATTACTATTAAGAAACCAAAATTTCGGTTCATGTCTATCTCAAAATTCACCAGTTTGCTCTACTTTAAATGGTAGCTGAGCTTGTTGAAAATTTTCCCAGCTACAACTTTGTTCAAGACCACTTTTCGATCAAATATAAGGAGCAACAATTATTAATGATTCAAGTCACTGATGTCTTATGATTATGCTCAATCAACTTTTCATCAGGCAACATTGCTGTTTATGGCGCGTCGAATAGAGGACAACAATCATGGCTACTAGGTCACACTGCAGAGTAAAGTGTTGCCCTTAATACAGTTGCTTAATCTTGCCATAAGATTATCAATCTCCTAATCAACTAATAACTATTTAATTTGACGTTTGGCTGAAAAACGATTTTCTGCAAAGTTGTAGCTGATGACAATTCCCATAAGAATAGCACTAGATTTGGTTAACAATACAATATTTAAAAGACTAGGAGACAATGAACAAAAAGTTTTGTTTTCCCATAGTAATCTCCATATAAACTTCAAATGGTTTGTGCCAAGACAGTTTCTTATCAAATGAGTTTAAACTTTCGGAGGCTAATCAGAACCCGATTTGAAACCGTTTAAACACTGTGGGGTGAAAATTTCAAATTTTGCATCAGTCTAGTGTATAATGCAATGGTTGCTATGATGAGGTTTCACCGTTTGCTCTACAGTTTTCAAAATGACGTCCAAGCAAGAGGAGCAGCGTGTCAAAATTTTGCTCGCGCGGCAAGAGAATCCGACGTTCTCACACGCCAAGTTGGCAAAATTGCTGGATGTGGCCAAATCGACTATGACAAACGTTTTAAAAGTGTTCGGGGAACGCCTGTTGACCGCCAGGAAGCCTGGAAGCGGCGTCAATCGTAATCCGGACGTGGCAGCGACGACGAAGAAGGTGGAGGTGAAATATTAGCGGAATCCTAACCTCTCCATCCGAGAAGTCGCTTACAAGCTCAATGTCTCCCATACTACTGTGCAGCGGGCCAAGAAACGAGCCGGTGAACCGAGATTACAAACAAAACACATCGGCAAAGCAGCGGTCCCGAAAGCTATATACGAATCTGCTCACAAGGTTCGACTGTGTTGTCAAGGACGACGAAACTTATGTGAAGGCGGATTTCAAGCAGCTTCCGGAACAGGAGTTTTATACCGCATCAGTAAAAGGGAAGGTGGCTGAAATTTTCAAAACCATCAAACTATCGAAGTTCCCGAAAAAATATCTCGTCTGGCAGGCCATATGCACGTGTGGTCTAAAAAGCGGCATTTTCATTACTACGGGAACCATCAATCAAGAGATCTGCGTCCAAGAGTGCCTGGAAAAGCGGCTGCTACCATTCCTAAAGCAACATAATAGACCTGTGCTGTTCTGGCCGGACTTGGCGAGCTGCCACTATGGGAAAAAGGCAATCGAGTGGTACGATGCGAACAACGTGGTTGTGATACCCAAAGACCACAACCCTCCCAACGGCCCATAACTCGGCCCTATCGAACGGTATTGGGCCTTGGTCAAACGGAATCTCAAAAAAATCCATGGAAAACGAGCAGCAGTTTAAATCTAACTGACGTTCGGCGGCGAATAAGGTCGATGAGACCACTGTGCAAAATTTAATAGAAGGGGTTAAGCGGAAGGCACGGTAGTTCGGATTTGGCAAACCAAAAGAATAAACGAACATGTTTTCTTTTAAATATATGAATTGAACTACCAAAAGAAAAATAAGAAGATTTTTGTGACATGAATTTTGACTGAAAGAAACGATTTTTTGTCGACCAATTTTTGCGCGTTCCAGTCTTTAATATGCAATCATGATACATTTTCTAGCTGAACATCTGAACTAACAAGCGAAAATGTTCTATAATAATGATAATATATAACTTCCTATTTTTAATATTCGCAATTCCTTGAAAAAGGATGGTCTTAGGAACATTGTTCGTATGATCTTTTCCATTAAAAACGATATGTGGAATCGATTTAAAGCATTATTTTACTCTCTAATCTAATACTATGGACCATATTTAAGGGCATAACTTTCACATTCTTCACAAAAAAAAAAAAAATTAAAAATCAGTGTCTTTTAAGAAAACTAACAACTCTAAAATATCTAACCTAGCAAGTCGTGTTGCACAGTGTAACAAGTAAACTTGTGATGGAAGAATTATCAACTTCGTTCAACATGCAACAAACTCAATTTTGAACTGTTCAGAAAAATTCTTCCCAACCAAATTGATTCGAAAAAGGCTTCCACCTATAGCTACAATTTCTAATCAAAAACTTCCTAATTCCAAACAATGCTATTCTCGCAACGTACAAGCATGTCCTCCGATTCCATTCCAGAAGCACCATTTCCTTTTTCGTCCTCGAAAACACAATTTCACCTCACTGACAACAGCAGGACAGCGTACTAAACTCGGTAAAAAGTTACTGATGAATTTTTAATTGAGTTTCCACTTACATTCACTAGCAAGCATATTTCGTATGTTTCTTATTCGTATTTCATGGAACAAGCTGCCCGTAAGAACCGGACGAGTATTACCGTCCCACCCACAAAAGCACCACCAGCAGACTTACCAGACGGAGAGGATTCGACCGTTTCGTTGAGTTTGTCCAAACATTCGAGCCGTCTTTGAGCGATCTCCGGATGTTCGGTCGTGGCGGTGGCCGTTGTCATTCTGGATCGGGGGGCGTACACGTGCGGTTCTTCCTACTTGCTAGTTGAACTCTGGGCCTGGCTACGGGAGTGACTTTTTGGCTTTGTACGACAATGTTCCACTTTGGAGCGTTTGTTTGTGAGGGGCCCGACCGTCCGTCCGCCCCGTTCGTCCTTGCTTTGTTACGCGTCAAGGCCGTGTTGTCCTAGTCTCTTTGTGTGCTCTACATTCGGGGGGGTTCACAGCAGTCGTCTAATTGCACTGACCGGCGCTGTGTTTTACTTTTATGTTTTGTTTGCTATGTTGTTTTCCGTTGTTTTACACTTTTGCTGCCGGAGGCTAGTCGTAGATTGCCCCGATGCTAATCTGTAAAGAAGGGAAAATTAGGTAGATGAGCAAAGTGATTGCTGTCGGCAGGTTGTTGAGCGGGGTTCTGTAAACAATTTGCCAAGGAGTTAAGGTTCCTATTCAAACAAATTGTTTACTCATAAAAATTCTGGTTGAAGAAATTTTTGTATTAAGCTAGCTTAATGTGCATCTAGATCGATCGCTGCTTCCGTAAAGGAATGCTATAAGCCGTAGTAATATTAATTTCATCATGAAACTATGAAAAAATGCTATAAGCGCATTGCCTTCATATCCTGCAGTAGCATTATTCATAATAAGGTTCAGCTTTGGTTTTACCAGCTTGAACCACGGGAGCGTATGGAAGAACAGCAGGATCAGGAAAAGCGGTCCTGAATCCACCAACGACGATGACGCTTCGTTGGTCGGTCTCCTGGCGTTTGCTATGACAGCTACGTGGGTTTCATGGTATGGCTTCCTCGGGCTTTCGTGGGTACGAGATTGCAAGCGATTGCCTCTCCCACAGGGCAATGGCAATAAAAGAATGCTAATCATTCTGATGAAAGATTTTTTCCATCCCATCATATCGTACCGGTTTGAAGAAGGAAGGATGCATAATACGAACCTTTTTTCGCTACTAGATGGAAGTCAACTATTCTAAACTTGCTGTGTTATTACTTTTTGTTAATTTAAGCTAAAACCAGAAGGTATGCTCTGAATTTACATGTTGAAAAAGAGATGCTGTTGATGGAAGATTTATGAACTTTGATTCTTGGGATTTGCATTAATCTTTTAAAAAATAGCTTGTTCAGCCCCCGCCAGTGGATTCAGAATGTGTTAGCTCCCAGAATAAACGGAATCAATTTGATAATAATTAAGAACAGTTTACTCATACTGGCATTCCATAGCAGAATGATATAGTGGTTTTTTTCATTTGATATTTTGACCTTTCATATCAAATCAGTAGTTCAAAAGTTATAAATTTTTGAAAAACTTCATTTTTGAAAAAATTCTAAAAAAGTCGATGTTTTTTACTTTGAAATGGTCAACTTAATTAAAAAAAAAGCGGTTCTAATATTTACGCAATAAGGAAAAAACTACGATTTTTTACGAAATTCTGAGAACCACTATATCGATTTGCTATGGAATGGCTGCATATGTACTGAATAAACTTTGCTTCAAATTAACATCGAGGCTCACTCCCGCTCCTAATTTTCCCAACTGATGCTAATTGCTAAATAAATACAAATAAACCTCTTTTCTACTTCAACCATTCTCATCTAACCCTTCCGGGGTACTATCTTGACTCTCATTACTATCTCAAACACTCACTAGTAAGTGTTAGCATTCCATGTTCTTTTCCTACCTCATATTCCACGCTGAGATGTTCTAAGCTTCCGGCCAGATCGTCGTTTTTGCCGGCGAACATTCCATGTGAAACCACCCACCCTCACACATGGCCAACAGTAGGGAATGTACAGTGTCTCCGTTGTTAGTATTGTTGCTTCATTCTTTACATAACCTACTTAATGGTATGTGTCTGCTGCCATTTCTTTTCCGTCTGTCCACCCTTTCCAACTACTCTGCCACACCGCACAGTGGTCCAGAATGCAGATTTAGCTGGAAGGATAAGTTTTGAGCCTGAAATTGAAACTTTAGACTAAACGTCTCTTCTACAAAGTTGTTCCTGAGGCCCTCATTTTTAAGACAATTAATTCTAGGGTGGTTCTTATTATCATTGAATTAAAAAATCTTTTTTTTTGTTTGAAGAATTTAAGGTATATAGGGTAAAGCACTACTTCGTCGTAGTCGCCCATTTCCGTTCTATCGATCAGAAAAGATCAATAATATCAATGATTTCACCGTGCACAAATCAAAAATAGGTTTGTTCCAATGCGTTAGTTGATTAGATACAACATAAATCCTATTAGAGCGCATTGTATGAATATTTACGCTCATTGCTCTTTTATCCGTAAAACGAAGAAAATCTAATGGCGTTTCAATGCGTTAGGACGAAATTGAAACTCGTAGAACGAATTTAGAATCAAGAAGCAGTATTAGATTTTTAACAATATCTCAACAGTTTGTGACTCTTTATCAAATCCAACGGTACGTATGAAAAGATCAATAAATTTAGCAGTCATCGTTGACAGAAATATTCCGATTTTTGTTCAAACCCGTTCAAAACAGAGACGCAAAGCTTTTTTTTTCGTTGATCTTGTTTTCTGTGCTAAGCACCAATGTTACCGACGCCAGGCAGGCAGCTCCCTCACCTGGACCCTACCTATCGACCCATCAACTCATGAACCGGGGTCCAACGGCTTTACTTTCCTTCCGAAGGAAGGCGTGATCAGAGATGTTATGCCTCAGAACCAATGCTGAGTTGCATCACGGTACTGACAGCTTTTAGATTAACAAAAGAGATTCCTACGGTTAACAATCAAAACAACTGAGAACCCTCTCTACGTAAAAATTCTCACCAGTATGACACAACAACCGAGAGATATCGTTATTTTGCTTTTCTCACTCATACGCTATATCACTCGTCATCTGTCATGTGGTACCATCAGATCACCGAGGAAAAATTAACAGACATATAAATTGACCGTCATCTGGTTTGAGCATAAATACGGTTATGACGGTCATTCCTCTTCCAAAATCACGGATATATTTCCCTCCCTAGTAAAGATATCGTTAGTAAATGGCAAGCACCCCATCCCTCTTTAGTGCTTACACAATTCAAGACCAACAATTCAAAAGCTCTCAATTCCATTTTGTAATCAAGAATTGTAAGGCCATTTTCTCGCGAATCGAAACCTACATTCGCAAACCTAAAACACAATCGGGTAGAGGAGAATTTTCCCTAGGGTAAACGCTCCAATAGTTGCGGTACGTTAGAAGCGTTAGGTTCCTATAGTTGTGTATTGAGTCTCCATACACAACTATAGGAACCTAACGCTTCTAACGTACCGCTACTATAGGAGCGTTTACCCTACCTGTTAATTTTGTTGGTTTGCGTTGGCGGACTTCGGTTCGCGACAAAATGGCTTTGCAAGGTATGTTTACAAAATGGAGTTGAGACCTTTGCCATTGTAGGTCTTGAATTATTGCACGGTCCGTTATAAATCCGGAGTGATTTGAGATTTGGGCGTTATTGTATTTGTAAACAAACACGCCAATCGCCAATTTATCGCGTATAAAAGCTCAATTTTGAAAACTAATAACACTATGAGGTAGAGATATGATTCCTCTATCATTTGGTATAGTTTGTTTATAAGATTGAGCTTTTATTCACGAGAAATCGGCAATTGACCTGTTTGTTTACAAATAAAATTTCGCCCAAATTTCGTATCACTCCGGAAATATACATTTTCTTCACTTGAGGTTTCAACAATCAAAGCAACCATTGGTATCCATCAACAAAGAAAACTTCAATTCGTTACTTTGAAGTCCGTAAGGAAACGCAGTGTATGTATTTCAAAAAAATCTTCGCTTAAAATTAACAGGGAGTTCGTTTATTATTCAGTTCCAACCTGGATCGGGAATCAAGATTGGATCTGTTTGTTTTCTAACAAACGTCAGTTTGCTCGTTTCCCATTTTATAGAGATAAACTAGCCAACGGCTAAAAATCTCTCCAATAAAGTCTAAAAAAAAAAAGTTTGCTCGTTTGCTTTTAAAACCCAGCTCAGGTTGAGGGTTCGCACTGAAAAAAAGTTCGGTTTCGCACTGATGTTGTCGAAGGTCATGCTGTTGGTTCCATGATAGTCCTTGCAATTTTTCGGAGCAATTCAAAAATTTAAGATTTTTCGCTTCACTTTTCGCACGAAACGTAACCACGTTGAACAGATATTTGTTTTGACAGTAAAATTGTCGTGAGCTTGTCAATTGTGAGTTGTGTCAGTTTTGAGATTGATTAAGCATCGTACACAAAAAGTGAAAGTGGCTTTAATGTAATTTTCATGTTACAAAATGGCATTTTTGAAGATAAACGGATATTAATGTACATTGTTACGTAACAGTTCCCACATATTTAGTTGTCACAAGGAAAATGAAAATACAACGTTTTCTTCCAAATGTTTCGTATGTTCTGAACTTAACAACTTTTAGCAAGAACAGGAGAATGAGGGAGCATTATTCTCACTTCCCACTTATAAATGCCCAACAGAGATGATCAGTGAGTGAATGATTTTGCTACTCTCTCCTTGTCGTTTAATCTAACTGTCATGGATGGCTTTTATGAAGACGGTCTAGTGAGGTAGGGGAGTTTCTAAAGGCCTAAACGCAATGTGGACGAAAAGCGGAACGGAAACGGAAAATTTGACAGTTGTCATAAATGACATCAAGATGCCTAACCGAAGTCGATTTAGTTCTAACTAGTTTTCAATCCGACAAGTAGGCTTCTCAGATCGGGATTTGCCACTGCCGCTGCCGTTCCGCTTCCGCTATCATTGCGCTTGGGCCTTAAGTGATATGCTAGTTGACCGTCATTTTTGAGATGTGACGGTTATGCGAGGATGACCGTCAAGGTACAATAACCGTTATGATAATGCACAGCACTGCTCAGAACATCCCGGCTGCGCCGACTGGGATTGAAACCAGGCCTGCTGGGGTGAGAGGTAATTACGCTTACCACTACACCACCGGCACCGCTGCTCGGCAAAGTTATAGTTGATCTAATTTCAAGCGTCTTTGTTGAATAAAACTTTTTGGTATCTCATGAATTGACCGATTTAGAGCAATTTTCCTAAATTGAGTTCGGGTGTCTTTAAAAAATACAGTTTTTTTTTATCAAGTTTTTTTTATCTCAAATAGCTCATAAAAGATGTCTTGAAATAACTTTTGGATCTTTTGAAGGCGCAATTTTTTGCTGCACAGAGCTTGTCGATATCTTTCGCCGATCAAGAGTTATTGAAGTTTTTCTACTAAAAATTGGAGGTATGTTATTTTTTAAACTCGTAGAAAATCAATTTGAATTTATTAATATTTGTATTACAATTGGGGATATCTTTTTATTGGAAGA